TTACCTAAACTGAAAAATGACTCACACTGACATGACTAAAGATGACATGATTCAACCTGACATGACCCACATTGACATGACCCACATTGACATGACCCACACTGACATGACCCACACTGACATGACCCACACTGACATGACTCACACTGACATGACCCACATTGACATGACCCACATTGGCATGACCCACATTGACATGACCCACATTGACATGACCCACAATGTCATGACCCACACTGGCATGACCCCACACTGCCATGACCCACAATGGCCACACAAGAATTAACAGAGTCAAAGGTCTAGGAAGGTAATGGGGCTGGCGTCCACCCCTCGGTGGGGGGGGGGGTGCGAATTAGACGCCCCGGGTTGAGATAAATATCATGTGAGATAAACTTAAGGCAGCAGTTGACAGATTCTGTTTCAAGGTCCGGTAACAATTAATATTTTACGCGTTGCTGATCAAAAGAAAAAAAAAAGAAACTAACTTTAAAATCTGAGGGAGAGCGCCATTTTTTCCCTCTGCATTTGCTAAAAAAGGATAATGGTGGCCATGGGCGCCCGCAGAAAACTTTCTAGGAGGGGGGGGGGCAAAAAAATCGATTAACTTTCCAAGGGGGGGCAAAAAATATTTAGTAATGTTTTAATGTAGTTTTAATTTACTGTAGCATATTTGTATGGTGAACGAACGGACAGGACATCAGCTTAGTTACTTTCTCTTTATTTTCTCTTTACTTTAATATATTTTTTGTCTATGTTTGTCTAACAAAAATTTATCCAAACAATCCAGGGGGGCGCCCATGATGGTGGCCTATTTGTTTCGTGTAGCTTGTGGATTAAATAAAGCTTTTCAATTAATGCTCCTTAACACATCCTCACAAACAAATTAATAAGATAAGATATTATAATGTAATCTAGTATGAAGAGGGGAGGCAACTTGTAGTAGCACACAAATAATAAAATCTAGTTTGTTGAGGGGAGACAACCTGTAGTGGCACATAAATAATGTAATCAAGTTTGGAGAGGGGAGACAACTTATAGTGGCACACCAATAATGTATATAGTATGGAGAGGTGAGACCACTTGTAGTGGCACACAACACCATAATGTAATCTAGTTTGGAGAGGGGAGACAACCTGTAGTGGCACACAAATAATATAATCAAGTTTGGAGAGGGGAGACAACTTGTAGAGACACACATGTCATGTGATCCAGTTGGGAGAGGGGTGGCTTTTTTTAGAGGGGGGGGGGAGGTCGGGTCAGAAAAGCATTAAGAACCTAGTTGACCTAGTCACACTTGAGTTGAGAA